CTTCCCCCACGCTGCCTCTGGCGAATCCTAACACCCACCCCTGCACCTCTGGCCTGTACCCCAGTTCTTGTATACATACATAAATATTTTTTAAATAATAAAGATTTATTTATTTTTGCTAGAAGAACTGGCGTGTAGGCCACAGGTGCAGGGGTGAAAGGATTCACCAGAGATGGGGTAAGGAGCAGAACAGGCAGATCTACTGAAATACACAGCTGAAGGGAGTAGCAGGCAAGACAGGAGAGGCCTGTGTGCTATGTGGGTCAGCTCCCTGTCCTGGATCAAACTCAGGCCACAGTGCTGGCAATAGCTTGATAGTACAAAGACTTTAATCCCTGAACAACCAGGGAGGCCCCTTACACACAATTTTTGATTCTCTAAAACTGAGTATATAAATATGTCAAGCTGTCAAGATGCACAACTGAAACTTATAGAGTTATAAACCAAAGTTACCTCAACAAAATTTGTGAAAAAAAATTGGAACTTGTCAATAAGGTGGTGAAAGAAAATGAGTAAGAACTACCTAAAAGTTAAAGTATGAGGCCCTCCCTGGTGGTGCAGCGGGTTAAAGCACAGCACTAAGAAGCTATAGCCACTTCCACATGAGTTTAATTCCCGCCTGCCCCGGAGGTGACCACATGGCGCGGCAGACCTCTCCTGACCTGCCCGCTGCAACCCTCAGCAGTGTATTTCCTTGATCTGCCTGTTCTGCTCCCCGCTCTGTCTCTGGTGAAGCCTCTCGCTGCCCCTGAGCCTCTGGCCTGTACCCCAGTTCTGTATGCACAAATAAATAAATCTTAAAAAAAAGGAAAAAAGTTAAAGTGTGAGAAGACATGTTGGCTCAAAAATCTATTAAAAGGGAAACAAAAAGTTGCCTTCCTAAACAAATTTTTAACCATCCAATCTTCTTTAGCATATGGATAACACCATCGACAGTTTTGATAACCACTCTCCAAGATGACACCCCCAAAGATCTGAACCTATAGTATTTGTTCCCTTGAGATTCATGGCCTGACCAATAGAATGCAGTAAACATGATATTGTGTAACATCTGAGTCTACATCAGAAGAGGTCTGGCTGCTTCTATCTTAATCCTTTGAAATTCTCTGCCTTAGAGCCCTCAGTAAAATATATGAAGTCTGTCTACCCTAAGGCCACCTTTCTGGAATGACCACATGGAGAGGCCCTGAGATTTCATATAGGACAATTCCGGGCCAGTCCCCCCATCAACTGGCGTTGTCCCAGCTGAGGCTCTGGATGTAGCATAGAACAGAGTAGAATTGTCCCCACTGAGCCCTATCTAAAGAGTCAATATAAAATAATAAATTGGGTGGCTCTCCTGCCCACCTGTGACGATGCAAGTGTCTGTTGTTTTTTTTTTTTACTTTATTTCATTTGTTTTTGCCTCCTCTGTTTTTTCCTTCTCATTTCCTTAATGTACTTGTCTTTTAAAAATGTAGAATAAATATATAATAAATTGAAACAATGAATAATTGTTGTTTTACGCCATTACGTTCCACATGGTTTTGTTACACAGAAGTGGATAATAGAAAAAAAAAAAACTCAGTCCTACCTTAACCTCTATGTTTATTGCTGCTCTATTTACAATAGGGAAGATGTGGAATCAACCCAAATGCTCAAAAATAGATGACTGGATTAAGAAGATGTGGTACATATACACAATGGAATATTACTCAGCAATCAAAAAAGATAAAACTCATGCCTTTCACAGCAACATGGGTGGAACTGAAAGGGATCATGCTCAGTGAAATAAGCCAGAAAGAAAAAGGAAAATACTGGATGGTTTCACTCATAGCAGGAGTGTAAGGGATTGGGGGTTAGGGGAAAGCAAATGTAATAAAGTAAAAACAAACAAACAAACAAAAACAACGAACAACTATAAATATTTTACAGGGGTGGAGAGGGGAATAGGATCAAAACTGGGGTGGGAAGAGTGCACTGGACTGTGGTGATGGCGTATGGGTGAACTGGTGGTGGGAAGTCCACAGGGATTATAGCCAAGATGAAAAAATGCACAAAATGAAGAATGATGTAAATAACTATATTTTTAAAAAGAAGAAAAGAAAACCCCCAGTCCTTCTTCACTTGCTGTAAAGTGTTTCCTTGGGTGAGTACAAAGTAAACACGAATGACTCAGGTCAACTCAACATTAACTTTTCTAGCTCTTGCGATATATTGCTATATGACTAATTCATGCTGTGGAGATACAACTCTTTGGGACCATATTATAAAAAGTAACTTTATCACTTCTGTGGTCAAGACATACAGGCAACACAGAAGATCTCTGGAGCCTGTGGTCAGGTGCAAAACCACAACCCAATAAAGAAGAATATATTTATTAAGCTGAACTTGAAGGGCAGCTTTCCATAGAAAAGAGGTCACAAGGATATGACAGGAGGGGAACAGGCAGAAGAAGAAAACAATTTTTGCCTATATTTTGAGGCTTTAGAGCTGCGCATGTGTTCTCTTCTCAGGACCTGCTTCCTAACCATGTTTAAAACATGGGATTCATCCCTGCAGCTGCAACAATTAGACAAGGGGTGTACATTTGATTGATAAGTAGCCATTCTGTTATTAATTTCTAGCAATTTATCTGATTACCTCCCTAAATAATCTGAACTAAGGTACAAATAAACTGTAACATGCACTTGAACAGAAAGGCCATAAGGAATCAGAGTGGGATGACTATTCTCAGTTATGTCTATGCTGATTAGTAAGTAAAGAGGGCTGGTTTGCAGAAAAATTGTACTGATGAGAATCCATTCATGGGGGTGGGATGGTGTGGAAGGAGAAGGAGCAAGAGGAGAAAAGAAAAAAGAATAAAAGACACTAAGCGTGAGAGAACTCTAGCACTAACTTCATTAGCTTTCTTATCCCAGGTTTTAAATTTTTTAAAAATATTTATTTATTTATGCATACAGAACTTGGGTACAGGACAGAGGTGCAGGGGCGGTGAGATGATTCACCAGAGACAGAGTGGGGAGCAGAACAGGCAGATTGACAAAGTACACTGCTGAAGGGAGCAGCAGGCGGGGTCAGGAGAGGTCTGCCATGCCATGTGGGTCACCTCCAGTGCTGGGGATTGAACTTGCACTGAAGCGGCTATGGCTCCCTTGCAGTGCTGAACTTTAACCCACTGTGCCACCAGGGAGGGTTCGGGTTTTTAATTTTTGGCTTAATTCTTTTTTCTTTTTCTTCTTCTTTTCTTTTTCTTTTTTCTTTTTTTTTTTTTTCTTTTTTTTTTTTTTTTTTTGGTTAGGGATGATGATGGGATAAGCATGAACGCAAAGTGGACTTTATCTTCACTTTTGTTTAATAGTCACTGAAAAAAATCACTTTTGGTTATCGATTTTTTTAATCTTTGGGTTTCTTATTAATGAATACTTCAGAACTACGAGTCTTAGGAATTGTTTCTCTAAAATTAGTTGTCATTTGCTTAGAGGCACAGCATCATTGTGGGGCAGAGCTCCCATAGGCATCAGAAGGCGTAGGCAGGTGATTCTTCACCTCTTTATTTCAAACAAATCAGAAAAGAACAAAATTATGGAGGAGGATTTTTCTAGTCCCTGCTCAGCCACTCTCATTATGACCACAGGTTAGTCCCTTCACCTCTGTGGACCTCTATTTCCTCCACGGTATGTAGTAGTCACAGTTTGAACATTCTTTGATCATAAAAGATCTAAGGGTCTTATTCATCTTCACACAAACCTTTCATCTTATTCTGAGAAGTGTGCAACGGGTAAAGGCTCTATTGCCTAAGATCTGGAACTTAAATTTGCAGTAATTTCTAATACTTAAACACATGTACTTTTCTTCCTGATTATGCAGTAAAGGGCAGGAAGTGAAAAGAGGAACATTGTTAATGCTCAAATTCAGTCAGAGGCTCAGTTAGGATATACATTAGATGTAAGTGTAAAAAGGCAAAAGATAATTTGAACCTGAACTGACTCAATGTCCTATGAAGATTTCAAAAACTGTGCTCAGAGAATAAAGCCAGCAACGTATCTTTTCTATTACATAAGAAATCATGTATTGTAGTAAAATTCCACTCAAATATAACAAATGTTAGTATTTAGTGTATAAATGTTTTAACGTCAAACAAACTGTACCATTTGCTTCAAACAGATCTAATTGTTTATATGGCAATGCTTATGTCTTCAACTGACCTACAACCTTTTACCTAACTCCGTCCCTCCTTATCCCCGCTTTGATCACTTTCTTTAGGAAGGAATATGGAAAAGTCTATAAAAGCTTCTTTCTTCACCAGCTTGCAAGGTTTCATTCATGCATTCATTCAACAATGTTTTATTGAACACCTAGTAAAAATCTGAGCCAGGCTACGGTTCAAAAATGCATGCTCCATAAGATGGGCCTTTTGGTTGCAATAAATTTACAGTTCCAATGGAGAGACAATACACAAATAATTGTTTCACCGATTACTTGGACAACTTTATAGTAATGCGCAGAAGTACTAAGAAAGCACAGAAGACTGATCGAGGAAGGGGGCGAGAGGAGGTTGGGGAAGGTTCCTGTGGGGACGATGCCAGTCTGACAACGCGGGGGCGGGGATGGAGAAGAAGAGAGAAGAATCCGAACTTCAGTTCCCTGTGTCAGCAGGAATTACTGTTTCTTCGCCATTTCCATCACAGAATTGCAGCCTAAAGTTCCCGTACAGGTGGTCAAGAACTTGGAAGTTAAGGACCTAGGACAAAAAGAGAGGATGTCGAGTCTGGACTCGCTCCAGCGCGAGAGCTACACTAAGTCCCCGGGAGGGGTGGGCCCGTGCCCGCCCCTGGGGACCAGAGCAGTTATCAGGCGGCGATTGGTTGTGTGCAAACGTCGAGCTCTTTTCATAGGCCGCGTAGGACTGATCGCGAGGCTCTGGTTGGCTCCCCGGTCGCTGAGTGGTCATTGGCTGCAGCGGGTCGTCTGGGCGACTAGGAGGAAAAAGAGAAGGGTGTTGGGCCTGGCGGGCGAACCTGGCCTGCCGACTGTTGGGCGGTTCCGCGGGGCGGTGTCCGGAGCGCAGCGGAGCCGAGCGCTCGGGGTTCACGCCACACTCCGGAAGGTGCTTGAGTGGCGGGCCCGAGAGCGTGGCCAACAAAATCCGCGGGCCGGGACCATGGGCTGCTTCTTCTCCAAGAGGCGGAAGGCTGGGAAGGACTCGCAGGCAGAAGGCGAGGAGGAGCAGCCGAAGCAGTACAGCTGGGATCAGCGTGAGAAGGTAACCAGAGTCCGGTAGCCACTGGGCTTAGCCCACCCGCGAGGGTCCGCAAGGATCCCTGGCAGCCGAGGCCTGAAGGAGAACGACCCCAACGGACAGCGCGCGCTCTCTCTTCCTCCTTCCCTTCTCTCCCTCCTCCCCCTTCCCATGTGAAGTCGAGCCGAGTGACTTTGGGGGGACCCGTGGAACACAGCGCTAGAGAGAGCTGCACGCAGGGCTGTAAAGCGCTGGAAGGGGCCTTAGAGCTTTTTGTTCCAGTGGATGGACCCCTGGGGGCATCTCTAAGTCCGCTCTAGGACTTGCGCTGCCCTCCGCCCCGCCCCCCGTCCTAGGATGGACCTGAGGGAAAGATCGGAGAATGACCTGAATCTCAGATCTACTCATTTCACCAGCAGCGTGCAGCGAGGTTTTGTCCAGTCCTTGAGTTACACTTGGGACTGATTCTCATCTCGTTCCCAGCTTAGCTTCTTTCTGTGGCTGTTTTCTTTTCTGTCTGCCCTAGCTGGTAAATCTCTTTGGTGTCTCCGGAAATATTCCGTTCCTGAGTTTCCTCAGTTATGAAGTGGACAGTTTAATCTACAGCTTTGCTTTCCCTCCTCTTCTAGGTCCCCTGAAGGAATAATGAAAATCAAATCAGTCTTACAATGTGTATTAAGACTGTAAAGTGAAAATAGCCACCATATATCAGCCATTATTTTACTTTTGCTTTAAGTGAATGAAAGCCCCCTTATTTTTACTTTTCTATATAGATAGAAATGGAAAAACTTTCAGTGTCCACTAGTCTTGCACAAAACACAGTCATAAATTTCACAATGCTTCCTCTTTCTAGAGAGTTCTTCATTTGTGTTTAGTAAAATACTTTCATAGACTTAGCAATTATTTTTGTCTTCCAAACAAAATGAGACTTTTAAAAATGTTACTCATAGTTGACTTCCTACTTAACGCAGCGTCTTTGCCCATGAATTTTTTATAGTAAATTTCTTGTATTCTTTTGGTTTCTTAGACCTTCCTCCATAGTATCCTATCTTCAGCAGAATCGATTCATATAAATTCAGTTCTCCAAGTGTCAGATTTAAGAAATTGGACTCTTTTTGTAGGCTTTCTCAGCTTCACCTTTCTGCCTGTTTCCCACATCCTTTTTGAGTTGCATATACCTGTCATTTAAAGTTATTTGGTGGACAGTTTGCTCAGCCTTAGTATTTCTAACAGTCACCGTATGCTTGAGCTGTGTGCCATAAAGTTGCGTGTTTTATTTTGGCTTGTCTTTGAAATCATAGACTAAAATTAAAACTAAAGTGCTTTTATTTACTGTAGACTTGGTTGCCTTCCGACTTATAACTTCATAGTAAATTGTCTTACAGTCAAACTTTATTATCATAATGTTGGGGTTAGTTGAAATCTCATACATTAATCTTTCTCTTTTAGATAAGTGGATGTATTCAGTGATATTTTTCTTTTGTTCTTTGGCTAATTAAATGCACTGAAAATTGAATGGTGGGCATCAGCATCTAAGCTTTTCACCCCAAGTGAGTTTTGAATTGTAGCTTTTGTTTGAGCTTACCGGGAATATTTTTTTGGGAATACTACTATTCAATAGTAGTGGCAGTTGGTGTAAGAGATGGTACTAGACATGCAAAATAAGCTCTTGTTTCTGGGTAGATATACAATAAAAGTTAGTATCTTGATCAACTCAACTAACCAAAATTTTTCTAACTAAATAAGTGATATATTCTGAAAATAATCCATATGTTGTACTACTTGTTTATTTTTAAACAATTTATTTTCTTATATTGTTTTTATTTTTTGGACAGTATTTGATTTCCCCCCCTCAGGGGGGAAATTACCAGCTTACAATTTGAGACAGTGGAAACACCACATTTCCCAGAATTGCTTTTTCTTTTTTAGAGTTACTAGGATTTCACTCCAGGGCCCTCATTTATGATGGCCTATTAAATTTTATATGACTTGATTTTTTTTTCTGTCCTAACATCACATGTGACTGATTTGGGTTAGTGTACAAATGTTCTGTGTGGGTCCAATGATACTCTCGCTGAGTTTGGCATGGTCTTGCTTGCTGCTAGAATTTAATTGTACTTTGAAATGAACAGACTAGACATACAATGCAGAGAACATAAATGAAATATGTTGCATGCATATTAACAGATGATTTGTGTTAAAAGTTTAGGCTTCTCTAATGTGGTCATTACACAGACAATTACTATGCAACTTGTAAGAATTTAGATGTGAAAAACAAAATGTGAATCTCCTGAACTTTCCTTGCAACTTGGAAAAGTGATGTTTAAAATTTTCCTTGGCTTGTGTAATCAGTGTATCATTACTGAGAGGCACCCTCTGTGTTTTGGGTTGTGTAATTGGGTCAGTCTTAGGGGACTGCAGAGAGGAGAAATTGTCTCAATTAAAAAGAATGTTTGGGGACTAAGTGTTGTCATGACAACTGGTGTACTGTAATAAACAGTAAAGAACCTCACTTTCTGTGCTGCTACTTCAGAAGAAAGCTTACTGTACGACTGCTATGACTGCTATATTGACACCATGAGACGTCTTTTTGGCAAAAGATCATCTTTGATGAGACGTCTTTTTGGCGTAAGATCTTTCTTTAAGTCATTTAGAAAGAAATTATATTATCTTTGTTATCTATATGCTGCCTCCTAGAGCTAGGCAAATCATTCCATATATATGTACTCAAACAACAAGAAAGACCTTAAAAAGGTTATCTCTGCTGGCTTTATTGAGTTAAAAGAGGAAATATTTTAAGTACAAACAAGGGAAAGAGGGGTGGTACAGAAAAGTGGTTTTTATCTTTCAGTTATTCATACCAACCCTCCTCTTAGATGATAGAAATGTGGACTAACTTTCTAAATAATAATGGCATAAGTATGAAAATTGTTATTTTGAGTATGGACAACACATCTTGTATCCATTACATTTGTCTCATATTAAATAGAAATGTACTAAATGAAAAACTTATATCCAAAATTCAACTAAGTACATTTTTTTCAGTGTCTGTCATACAACTTTGGATTAAGCAGCCAATTTGTACATTTTAGATTCCTCAGCTATAAAATGTGACAGTGCTAAAGATTTCCATACTACTTAACAAGGTAAAGGCCTGGCTTGAGGAAGAGGGGTTAGGCAGTAATGGTTACCTCTGAGGCTGAAACTTGGTCAAGAGATTGGGCAGGCCAAAACCAGACTTAATGTAAGGCAGACCATACTCACCAGATGTTCATCAGTGGAAGGAGTGGCTTTGTGAGGAACTAGTCTCCATGTTAGTCAAAGCTGATTCAGACAGCACTGGGATGGCAGCCTACAGAAAGAAATGTCTACATTAAGTAGGGGGTAGGTGCTGTTTTTAACCTTTTAGGCACACAAGACATGCTAGTTATCTATTGTTCTGTATACTAAATCACCTCAAAACTTAATGGCTTAGAATGATGGCAAGGACTTCCTTTGTTCACAACTCTGCAATTTGTGTAGGGCTTAGCCAAGTTAGCTCACTGTTTTGTGTGGTATCAGCTGAGGCAGCTTGACCAGAAGCTGGAAGATCTGCTTTCAGTATGACCCAATCATAGAGCTGGCTGGCAAATTGGTGCTGGCTTTCATCTGAGAGCTCGGCAGAGACCTCGCCACGTGGTCCAGCTTTTCCAATGGTGTGATGATTAGATTCCCAGAGCCAGTGTTCTGAAACTACCCAAAGCTGCATGACTTTTTCTGTCTAACCTCTTAAGTGATGTAGCATTAATTCTGCCACATTCTGCTGGTTCAAGCAGTCACAAAAGCTCACCCAGGTCCAAGGGGAGGGAATCTCTTGATGGAGGAAGTGTCAACTGATTAACATGATTTAAATCTTTTTACACAAAGTTGTTGTTTAAAGACAGTAACTAGATCTTTGATTATTTTAAAAATAGCCTTACTTTATAAAATATGTATGATAATTTGTATGTCATACAATTCACCTTTTTAAAAGTGTGCAATAGTTTTAATCCGTTCATAAGGTGAACCCATTAGTATTTTCTCCCCACTACCCCCTCCAGTTCCTGATAACTACAATTTAACTTTTTTTTTAAAGATTTATTTATTTGTGCATACAGAACTGGGGTACAGACCAGAGGCTCAGGGGCGGTGAGAGGCAGAGTGGGGAGCAGAACAGGCAGATGGACAAAGTACACTGCTGAGGGGAGCAGCGGGCGGGTCAGGAGAGGTCTGCCACGCCATGTGGTCACCTCCTGGGCAGGCGGGAATCCAACTCATGCTGAAGTGGCCTTAGCTTCTTAGTGCTGTGCTTTAACCCACTGCGCCACCAGGGAGGGCCTACAATTTAACTTTTTATCTCTCTAGATTTGCCCGCTTTGGGCATTTCACATCAATGGAACCATTCAGTATGTGGTCTTTTGTTAGTGGCTTCTTTCACTTAACATGTTATTGAAATTCATTCATATTGTGGCATATATTAATACTTTATTCCTTTCATTACTGAATAACATTCCATAGAATAGGTATTTTGTTCATTTATTTATAGATGAATTTTATTTATCCATTCATCAGTTGATGGGCATTTGTGTGGTTTCCACTTTTTGGCTATTATGAATAAGGCTGTTATAAACATTTATTTACAAGTCTTTGTGTAGACACGTTTTTATTTCTCTTGGGTATATACATAACAGTAGAATTCCTGGGTCATAGTAGTAACTCTGTTGAACTTCACAAGGATCTGCCATACTGTTTTTCAGTATGTTTTACATTTCAGTTTCATTTTGCATTTTCACTAGCAATGTATGAGGGTTCCAGTTTCCTCACTCATACAAATTTTGATAAAGGGGGAAACAGAGAGGATAGAGAGTATATGAAACTGGCGTTTTAATTTGTGTCCGCAATTATTCCACCTCACTGGTAAAGTCATTTACCTTTTCCAGCCTCCAGTTTCCTAAGGTCTTTTCCAATCCCTTAATTCTTTGAACATCCCATAAGGGGAGGTAAGC